CCCCCACAAGAATACCAGCATGTTCACCTTTGGTTTAAGAAGCGGTCTTTTACTTTACTTTAGCATGAAACCCATCCATCGTTTCCTCAATATTCGCGTCATTTTTGCTGCACGCAGCTTCACGCTCCTCACGCGTGAGTATAAACCAGGCTCTACACTCGAAGCGCTGCGCAGCTCAAACGAGTCGCGCGGTTTCGTTATGCTTTCAGTTTCGTTTGCCGTTTGATGTTTCTCACATGCAACAGAAATGCAGCGCTTATGAGTTAAACAATGCGGTGGTCGCACCAGTGCGACCGCACACAAAATTTAGTCGCACCGGCAGAAAAAATTATCGAAAAATGCGCCCATTTGGTCGCACACTGGAGCCCTGTGCAGTACAGTATTTACTTATCCTCAGTTGTTCAAATCGCGGTAATCTAATACGGTTATAGTGATACTTAAAATATGAAACGGTAATACTAACCGTGGGGTGTTTTATCACGATTTATCGTCAAACCGGTAATCGTTACATCCCTAGATTAACATAAATACTATCTTTATAAAATATGATATACTTTATTTTATATGTATTATTTTTTAATGAAATATTATGTAATTTAAATAAATGCTATTTACTAGGATTTTTTTTTTTGTTGTTGTTGTTTTTTTTTTATATTTAAAATATACCTCTTTTTGGTCCTCTTTAATTATGATAAAGTTTAAGTGGTCTTTTAACTGCTTCAATATAGTATTATAGTAATAAATATGATTATTATCCATAATAATAATATTTTTCCATCAAAATTCCCTTTTTTGAATACCAGTATATGATTTTAAACTACACGGTGATTGTAGTTCTATTATATTATGTTATATTATATTATGTAAAAAATGCAACAGCCCTACCTAGTATTTAAAATAGCCATTCTAACGGTTTGAGCATGGATCAATAATGAAATAATTTGAAATCTATGCACAAAAATGACATGAATTTTAATGTATAAATCTCTTTGTTGGTGTATTCCAGATGAGATGAACCTACCAGCAGACATTCCCAGTTACCTCTCATCTCAGGGTACACTGTCAGAGCCTCAGGAGGGCTACAGTAACTCAGAGAATGGAAGCCACCAGCAGCTTATGCCATCTCATGCTAACGGTTACGTCCACAAAGGCACCGACGGTAATGTCACCGTGTTCCTCTAGCGAGAACGTTTATTCAGAAAGGCTATAAATATGACAACTCGTATAGTTTGGATGTATAATGCAGTCGTGTTGTGATGTGTTTCAACAGGAGTGTGTTACGGTGAAGTGAGCGGTGATGTTGATCCAGATGCTAATGGAATGCTGGGTAGTCGTGTGGGCTCTTTCTTTGCTGAACGTAGCAGCTTCCACCGGAGTGAACCCAGAGAGGGACAGGCAAATGTCCCTAATGGTAATGTTAAATTTTACATTTATCCCATAAATTTATATTATTTAATTTGCTTAAAAATGAATATTCTGTCATTTACTTGCCCTCATGTCATTGCAAAGTGGGCTGTTTGTCTCACCAGTTGACCTCATTGATCGGCTAATGGGTTGTTGGATGACTAGTCGACCATCTTGACCTTCGTCTGTGTTTTTTTTAGGTGGGCCAGGCCCTCTAGTCATCTGCTCAGACTGCTACGACAACGCCAACATCTACTCGCGCACGCGTGAGTACTGTCCATACGCCTACCTGACAGAGGATGACCCACTTGTGTCTCAGATCTCTCGGGATGGACACCAGAGCAGCCATCAAGAGCGGGATCAGCACGCAGACACGGCACTGGAGAGTTTTATAAGTCAGCAGAATGCCTCTGTGTTCCTCACCAACCATGAACCACGACTACCAGCGTCACAACACTATAGCACTGGTGAGATGAACCACATATTCTTATGCACCTCATTTCAGTCTAATTTCCTATTAATATTCTTTTCACCATTGCTTTGTTATTAAATTCAGTGATCTGCTCACCTAAGCGACCTTTTTAGGAGTTATTCTAATAAATTAAAATTAAGATACTTTGTGTTATAAGATGTTTTGTCCCAAATCTAGTATCATGTGTGCATGAGGCAATTCCAGAATGCAGTGTGACAAGCTAAATCAGAAAATGCCATCCTAGATCGCAGGCAGTGTTAAGAAAAAATGTCAATTTTAAATGTAAATATTTCATTCATACTTAAATGCATATATTTCTATAATATTGTATAATTTGTATATACAAATATGAATTAAATATATTTAGATTTTAAATTGATAAAGTTTGGGGTCAGTAAGATGTTTTTGAAAACCCTTATTCTCACCAAGGCTGCATTTATTTGATTTAAAAAAAAAAATACAGTAAAAACTGTAATATTGTGAAATATTGTTACAATTTAAAAGAACTGTTTTCTGTGTTAATATATTTAAAAATATAATTTATTACTGTGATGGCAAAATTGAATTTTCAGCAGTTATTACTCTAGTTTTCAGTATCCCATGATCCTTTAGAAATAATTATATGCATTCTAATATGGCACTGAAGAAACTGCTTAATATTTTTGTAGAAACAGATCTTTTTAGGATTCTTTGAATAGAAATTTCAAAAGAACAATTTTTTGTAACAATGTAAAAAGTCTTAATGTCACTTTTTTTTAATCAATTTAATGCATCATTACTGAATAAAAGTGGTTATTTATTAAAAAAAAAAAAAAAGTCACACTGACCCTAAACATTTAAATGGTATTGTACATGTTTGTAGTTATGATCAGTGCTCAAGTATTTCTTTGACTGGAAATTAATCTTTGCAATCTCTATACAAGTATTTATGAAAATACTTATTTGGTCTTCATGAGTTATTGGAAAAGTTGCAGAGAAATCAGAAATTCATTGTCCAGAAAATGTGGGAACCCTGTAGAATCTGTTGTGAGTGTTTTTAAACATTTTTTTAATCTGCTTCACATAATGAACACTAGTTGTGTGGCATGCACGAGGGAGTATTAACATGTTTGCTCGTCATGAAGAGTGTGTCAAAGTAGATTTTTGCTATTTTTACTTGCCTATGTATACAGTAAACAGAGAGTCTGCTCAGTAGGGTTTGGAACTGATCTAGGGCATGCACTTATTTCACGGTCTCTATTTTTCTTGTCTCAGATGTCCCAGGCAGGTCATTTTGGGATGGTGAAGAAACCCACTCTTCTATCCTCACCCAGGGCTCAGTGACTGTACATAAGCCCCCGATGGGTCTGTCCGCTGGGGACGGCCAAGAGGAGAGGAGGGGGGCACTGGAGGAAGGCTCATACAGGACTAACCCACAGGAAAGCGCCTCTGCGCCCACATAAACCTAGCCAGCCCCGTCTTCCCAACTCCTTTTGACCCCAAACATCACCACTTTGTCCTTCAGTCACCTCCCAGTGCCCTCAGCCCACTACCTCCTTTGAGAAGCCTCATTGTCTGCCAAATGAAATGCCTCTCTCTTCAATGTTTACACTGCCTCTCCTGTCCCTCCCCACCATCTTCCTTTGTAGCTCACTGGGATGTGCGTGTTTTGTGGAAAACTCTTTCAAACAAGAGACAGAATTCCTGCCTTCACCATTCCTCAGCTAACCGGACTGGTTTGAGCCCTGAATGTAACCATTTCCAAGAGCTCCACTAGTCCTACCGTAACATGTGACGTACAAATTATGCCATGTTTGGTTTTCCCACCTACTTAAGAGTGTTGAACCTGTTTGCATATGCCAAAGCTTGACCCAGACTCCCCTATAACTTGCTTTTGCTCTGGTACAAGACCTGTACGAATACTGACTGTGAAGATTGGACTGCCAAAAGAGGGCAGTGATGTTCTCTGAGTGACGTCAGAGAGCCAGTTACTGTATTGCATTTCTTATTCCTATTGGCAAGCAGTATGGACTGATGACCAATAATATGTTAATAGAGTTGACGGCTCTGTTGTTTCCACTGTTATTGTATGCCGGAGTTACTGTTATTTGTCATTAATAATGCTTTTTTTTGTGTGTAGTGCTTCTTACAAACCTAAACACATTCCTTAATTTCTCTTTCTGTTTTAAGGCACAATAGCAGACGGTAAGAAAAACCGGATATGTTGCACCTTTGACAATCTGGCCGGGACAGCCTTATATGAATCATGATATGCTAATTTTTTATTTTTACACTTCTTTCCCATATTAAGCTTACGTATTGTTATTTTTGTGACAGAATATCCATTTTAATTGTGAAAAATTAAAATGGATATTCCCCCCCCCCATTTGCATTCTTGCAAATGCACATCTAGTAGAATTGCAAATTTATTTGATTGATCAGCATGACTGAGCACCAGTGGTGTGTGTTTGGGGCGGGGCTACATTCTGACTGATCAATAGGAGAGTGGGGGAGCATTTGAAATTTTTTGCAATTCCATTTGATGCCCTAGTAGTGTAGAAATCACTCGGTTCACCTTTAAAATGTGTATATGCTGCATTTGAAATCCGTTGTTACTGCTGGATCAAACTGGTCTCGACTTATCAAGTTCTTTGCCTTTTTTGTTGTGAACCTCAGATAGGTGTTCAGATCATCGTCTTAATTTGAGGTTTGAGAATAATTTTGACAGTTAGGATAGGAATAGTCATGCCTAGTCATTTTTATTGTTTTGGCCTTAGAAGTACAGCTGGATTTAGAATTTTTTGCCTGTAAACGTTGTCTTAAGAGCCTGTGTCCAAAACCAAAGCTACCTAACTGTCTTGCTGCCCACTCATTCAACAGACACCTTTTCAGGAAACACATTTCAGTCCAACTTTCTGGGCACTGTAACATCACGTCTAATGATCTTGAACAAATTCAGAGATTAGCAAGGTCATATTTAATGACCACAGTTCTTATTTCTCAGTAGAAAGTGGTGGGGGGGGATTATAAATTGGAATTTAGTCACTCAGTCAGTCCAAATGTATTTTTTAAACTTATGCCGAACTGCATATACCGGATCTTGGTGGACAGGATGTTATGCAACCATTTGATTCAAATACCTCCAGATCAGCATTTTTCAGGTTTCGGACACATCCACTACTTTGTTTTTAAATGTGCTGTCACATTTACATTTATGTGGCAAAATTCTATGGGGAAAATGCAGTCGTGTCAATAGGAATCTGTGCGATCTGGAATTTGTGTTAGCCAAAACATTTGCCTGTGCAGATTTCACATCAGATTTAAGTTTGTTGAACTTTGAACACAAATTCGCAGCGCTTACCAAAATAAAGGTGTAGTCACATTTACCATTGCTCTGTGAAATTCTGCAGGCGAAATCAAGTCACTTCAATAGGAATCTGCGCAATTGAGAGTTTCATGTGAGGGCAAAAGTTCCCCATGCAAATTTAGCTATTTTTCAAGTTTAAACTGCTTTGTTTAAAAATTATGTTTGTGTGAGCCGTTCTTTATACATCGCTATGCTATTGACAATAGATATTGGACCTTTTTTTGCCTGCAAAATGTCACTGATATTTCGTTAATGTGACCACACCGTAAGGCTGCATATTTTAGAAGTGGCATCTGAGTAAAGAGAGCTTCATGAATTGCTATACTATTGATAATTGATAATAGACCTTCTTTGGCTGTAAAATTCTGCCAAAGTTTAACTAATTTGACTGCGCTGTAAGATTTGGATTCAATTCAATGCTTGATGATCCAAACCATGTGTGTGGATCCCTGATTAAATCTTGACCATTCTTTTTGTAAGAAAGCTCCACAGCAAAATTTGCACTTTCTGAGTGTACAAAAGCTGGATCTTGCATTGCAGCAGATATCTATGGTCACTGTCTTTTAATAGAAAAGATTTATTTTCAACCACTTTCCAACTGAGATAACTACCCCGATTTGCATATTGATTTGTTGCATTTTGCACAATCTCTTGCCTTGCAGTTAGCTGTACAATTACACTAATCATAGACCTTGATGTCAAATGATGCGTCTGACACCTCGCTGCGTCAATTTCCCTTGTTGAAAGGAAAGGAGTGTCATCAGTGGCTTCCAGCCACGTTTAAAACATCTTCATTTTTCAAATTACTGTTAATGCTTGCGGGAGATTAGCGCAAAGCAGTTTAAAAGTAATGTAAGTGAATAGTGGTTTTATTTTACTCCGAATTATATGGGACTTTGTTGGGATCTTTAGAAATGGACAAGTGTGATTTCACTTACAGTTCTTTTTGATTTACACCAAAGAAAATTCACATGGAACAAACATTCCTGCCTTCTGCAAACCAAAGTTTAGCTTCAGTGCTTTGACAATATTTAAATGCTGCTTTTTTTTATGTTTTGTTCATTTTTTTTATGTATTATTTGTATGCTGTACCTGTACATTCTGTAAAGCATGTATAAAGAACATTGTTTCAGAAAATTCTGACATTTAACTGACATTTAAACAATAAAATGAATTCAGATGCATCACGAGTAAAGATGTACCCATGTTATTCAAATAAGCTGTTATTAGTGGAGCTAGCTAAAGTAAAAAGGACTATTGCTACCGCTCATATTTAGGGTTTTATTTTAACTCCATAAAGCCTACTGTATCATATTTGATATGCAAATTTCCAAAGTCTCCAAATTATCAACATGATCAAAACTTTGCTTAAAAAACCCATTGTGCACAAACTACTACATGGCTATTTCCCTCTGATTGATAGTCCACTTTCCAGTCGGTATATGCCTTTTTGTTGTGGAATCTAATGATTTTTCTAGAGTAAACATAAAAATGCATTTTATTCTGTTAGTAATATTTCAAGATGAACACTTACTGGACTGAAGTGATTTGGGTTTACTTAAATATCCCTAATTTTGAGAAAAATCAAGTTAAAATGTATCAAATATGATACGTCAGGACTTTAATAAACATATGTTCTTTCAATCATCATCATATGGCATTGCATTATATTTTGCCTCCACAATAAAACACACAGAGCTTCGATAATAAAACAGCATCTATCTTGCTAAGAAATATAATTGAGGTTATAAAGTGACAATTGGTATTTATATGCATGTTATATAAAGACATTGATTTATATTACAAGGTATCAGAATTTCATCTTTTTTTTCCCCTCCTTGATTGTGACCATATTCTATATTTGATATTCTATATCATATTACAGTATATCAGCCATAAAAGCCTGAAGTGTATATATATATATATATGCACATGGGTCAAAGACGAAAAAGGGATTAAGCATAAAAACAATAAGTGTAATACTACTTAAAAAATTGTTGTTGTTTTCTCCCAAAAAATTACAAAATTTTCTGTTTAATTTAATTGCAAGTTTGTTTTTGTTTTTCTGAGCAAAAAATAAATATCATACATTTTTCCCTGATTTACAGAAGAGACCTACTAAAATGTCATTCAGTGTAATAATCTTGTCAGGCACATTTACAACAAAAATCAATTTATGACATATTAAAAGACTAATTACTTTCACCCCAAATACTAATTAGTTGTAATTTTAAATTTTTTAAATTTGCCACTTTCCTAGGTTTTGCCCATTTGTCAGTAAGAATGTTTTACTCATTTAAAACACAATCAAATTTAATATGCTCTCTTATTCTTTTATATATTTTAATATGTACACGTCAGAATAAACATGTTGTTTGAATTTTTACATAAATATTGTGTTACACTGAATGACAATGTAACATTATTTCAACCAAATTTTGAAAACACAATCAAATGTAATATGCTCCCTTATTCCTTTATATATTTTAATATGTACACGTCAGAATAAGCATGCTGTTTGAATTTTTACATAAATATTGAACTTTATTGTACTGAATGACAATGTAACATTATTTCAACCAAACTTTGACATTTTATTCTCCAAAAACTTATTTGAAACCTTAAAAGTAGACACTTTGCTTAAATTGATTGTGCTTTCTATGGACATCAAATCACTTTTGTAAATTTCTTTTGATGCGGACATCTTAACGACTTTGACCCACATACAAACCCATCAAATATCATGAGGTTCTTGATCTGCAATTGATTTTTGTTTCATGAAAGAACAAAAGTCATTTTCATTCTGATAAGTAGGAGAGTATATTGTAAGATTTTTCATTTTGAGCTATTCTTCAATGTAATAATATTGCTTTGTGGGGGGAAAGTATTGTTATTGTAAGTGTATAGTGTTAGCGTTATGTCACAGCTCACTTACAGTGTTGATGGTCTCAAAAAGTGACTGAATTATGCTAATATAGTGAACTGCAGAACTTTCCTGGAAGTTTTCGCGGAGTTTAAAAGGACGCAGACTTATTTGAATCCCTCTAAATACTTGAAGTGACAATTCTCATTGCCATCCTCTGAGAGATGATCTGAGAGAGAAATTATAGTTGTGAGATCAAAGTATACCTCCGCCTGCTGCTTATCCTCTTTACTCCGCTTTATCAATAATTCATTCAAACACTAGACTCGCTTTGGATTATTACACTAGTGGAACGGGGCCTTGCTGCGCCCTCTGAGCGCACCGTCCTGCACAGCTCAAGAAAAATCTCAGGCTATTGCCTTCGTTTTAGACCATAACTGAGACTAGACTAGGTTTAGAACAACCAGTAGATACCTAATAAGCTAGTTTATTTGTGTTTGGAGCCTTGTACTTTCTAGATTTAATATAGAGGGGAACAGGCCTTGTTGTGAGGGGCTACATTTCAGTAACTATAAAAATAGATATGATGTTATGAAACAAACATTCCTGATGATTCACACTAAACCTCTTACTGCTCAATCATTGCATTTTTATATCAAGTATCAGCAGGTCTTTGCTGAGTACAGATGGCTTTAGCTATACACTTGTGCGTATAAGTTTTCATACCACTTAAAAGAACAGTACTACATATTTTTAGCATTTTTTATAGGGATTCTAAGAGTTTCGTTCTATAGTACTGCCCAGAATAAGCTGCATAAGATATTTAAAATGGATAGTTCACCCAAAAATGCCTCACCCTCAAGTTGTTCAAAACCTGTATGAGTTAGTTTCTTCTGTTGAACACAAAAGCAGATCTTTTTAAGATTGTTGGTAACCAAACAGTTGTCGGTAGCCACTGACTTCCATAGTATGGAAAAAAAGAAGACGATATGGAAGTCACTGGATACCATCAACTGTCTGGTTACCAACATTCATGTTCATGTTCAGTCATGTGTTAAGTGTTTCAATTGTCTCGAGTTGATGGATCTCATGTGGATCATTTTCATGCTTTTAGTTTGTTTTTCAACCTTTTTTTGATGCTTGAAAGCTCCAGTCTCCATTCATTGTAATTGCATGGAAAAGAGCAAGTGGCACAGTGTTCATAATTCCTCCTTTTGGATTTCACAGAAGAAAGTCACGTGGGTTTGAAACAACACGAGGGTGAGTAAATGATGAATTGATGAAATTATGTAATTTTTGAATGAGCTTTTGAGAGCCAAATGTGTGTAAACCTTAGAGCAGGTATTACTTTGTCTTGTGGAATACACCGTATCTTTTCCACCGAATAGAAAAAAGAGAAACATCTTGAAGGTTCTGCAAGAGGTAGTATATGTTATTTGAGCATAGCTGTAGATACATGTAGCCTGGTCTATAAATTACTTAAAGGTTGAATGTAAGTAACACACTGAAATTAGTTTCATGTCTGGTCTTGTTCTATAGTATAATTAACCATGTCTGCACACTTCCTGGTGCGTTTCCTGTGTCTGATCTCAATACTCTGGGGAAATACAAGTCTTTCTGCATTTTGAAGTGCACAGCAGTGATTGGGAATTAAATTGGATCCTTTACAAACTGGAGAAGGCACTGTTTTGATGTGTCTTGACTTGTAATTAATAAGGGGGTGAACGCATGAATAGTGTCATGTGTTAAGCACTGGCAGAATGAGACTCAAGTCATGCTGCAGTTACAACTACAGTACTCACCATAAGGTGGCAGCTTTGAGTCTTACGCTAAACTACAGGACTGCTATTAAGATAACTGGCCCTTTAATTTGATTACAAGATGAAATATTCACTGATTACTTGAGATATCCTCACCTAGGCTTAAGCTATACTGATTAAATTACATTATCAGATTAATAAGAGAGAAAGAAAAATGGCAAGCACTGACATTACATTTATTATTTTATCATATTTGGTCATGGGAGCTTATTCTGAATGTTTTTTAATTACTTTACATTTTTACATGTTGTGCATTTCTTGGCAGACAATTTTATACAAAGTGACTTGTGTTGCATTTAAGGTATACATTTTGTCAACTCATACATTACCTGGGAACCAATGACCTTGGCGTTGCTAGCACTGTGCTTTATTGTTTGAGCTGTAAAAATCTTAATCCTATACATAATCTTATTATCCAAAAACATAACGTAGTACTTTCTATGTTCTTTCAGTTTTTTTATACAATTGTCCAACTAGTTGTTTCGATGTGGTATTTTTTTGTAGTGAATATATATATATATATATACTTGTATATGTTTGTCTGCAGCATGTTTTTGAAAGTCAAAGCATGGGTGCAGGAAAGGCATCCAAGATTGTGTGTTGCTTGGTCACACGCAACGATTGATGCTTTGACTTTAACTATTTGCATTGGTGAAAAGCAAATACTGGCTAATTTTTGTTGGTGTAAATGTAAGTTATTATGCTTGTTTAAATGCCATATTGCATAAAAGCAATTCTTGCACATTAAGAAACATGTAGGCCTACTCAAGTTATTTCATTAATTGCGTTTAACATTTCAGAACATGCAAAACTGAGGTTTAGTATTGAATTACAGTGATTTTACTATTTTTATAGCCACAATGTAAAGCAGAAACCCAATAATTTGGGTAAAATCACTGTAAAACACTGTGGCAATGAAAATATGACAAACGCCAGTATAATTGAATAAATGGTTGTATGTATAATTAGTAATAATCAAAATTTACAAATAATATAGTTCATTAGCCTAACAGTTGCTTAGGGGCGCCAAGCAGGGTGGAAACTCAGCATAAAAGTATAGGCTACAATTCAACAGTTATTGGTTTATCTTACAGCGAATTAGAACGCAACTCCACCAATCAGAATTTAGAATCAAAACGGTCGGTTTTATAATTGGTTCGTTATTGTATCTTCATTTACTAAACCAGTTAAGCTCAGTTTATATAAACCTCCACCTGAGAGCCATCCAGACACAGGCCGCACTGGCTGTCCGGTGAGAGCGCGCGCACGCGCTCGCTTCATTTGACAAATACAAGCTGAGCGCAACAGTAGCCGCCGCGACTGGAGATCTGAGAGAGCAACCGCCGCGTATGACAGCATCGCAGCGTCCACTTGAGACGATAAACACATGTTCGACCGGTTTAATTCTCTAGTAGGCTATCTGTCGAGGGCTCAGAATGTGTGTAAAGCTGACGGTTCAGCCACAAGCCAAGAATGAAGACGCGTCACTCGCATCTACTCACTGACTGGGCAATGGGCATCGCGTTTCGAAGACGAACCTGAGCTTCGGCCGTTTGGACAGACCCGACAACCGAATATATCCAAGACAGCCGCTTCGGTAGCTTTTTAGACCTGTGGGACACTGTTTTGCTGCTAATTCCGTTTATAGACACACATTTTTATTCGGCTGTACTGACAGACACGTTTCTCAGTGTCAGTCTAGTGCGCTTGATGCTTTGCATGCAAAACCTGAGTAACGTTAAACTTACCAGGTAAACACAGTTTTACCTCATTCTTGTATTGATTGTTGTTTACCTTTGCATTATGTAGCTATAATAGTATCCTCGCACATTTGTAACATGCGTTTTTATGAGCGAAAACTAAGGCAATCTAAAATGTTGTCTTGAACTAATAATGGTAGACGAGGTTTATGGAGATATCACGGGCTGGATGGCGTTCCACATCCGCGCGCTGTCATCCCCACACCGGGTAAAGTGAACGGCACACCGGGGAAGAGAGGCTTTAAAACCTGTTCACGTCAGACTGCACTAAAACGTACAGGATAAACGATGTCTAAAACGCTGAAGAGGAAGAAACACTGGTCCACCAAAGTGCAGGAGTGCGCCGTGTCGTGGGGAAGCGTTGGGGAGTTCGGTGATGTTGTGGAGATCCTCGGAGGCGCCGAGCACGGGGAGTTCCCGTTCCTCGGTCAGATGAACTTAGACGTGCTGGTTTGTCACGTCGGGAGACTACCGTACTACGGGGATGTGTTACTGGAAGTGAACGGGACACCTGTCAGCGGGCTGACGAACCGAGACACGCACGCGGTGATCCGCCACTTCCGAGAGCCGATCCGAATTAAGACCGTCAAACCAGGTAAACGGAGAGAACTTTGTTGTTTTTGTTGTTCCCTAAAAGTGAGTGTTTCCAACCAATACTGTTGCCAGGAGAGTTTGGCTCACAGCGCACCTGTATCTTCGATGCTTAGCCTACATTTAAAGGGACAGTTCACCCCAAAATAAATTGTCTTCGCGTGTAGCCTACACACCATCATTAGCCTATTTAAAGACACATATGAATTTCTTTTTGTCGTGAAACACGAAAGTTTATTATTTGGGTTGTTTATTGATTTATGTCTGCAGAATGTTCGCGTTGCTCATTTCCACACAACAAACGTGGATGGGGACTGGGGCTACTATAGCGCTGCAGCCATGACATCAAAACCCAGAGGACTAGTTCGCCATAGGTTGCTTTGAGGTTTTCCTGTGGGTTTTTATAGTGAGGTTATCAACTCAAATTCTTTTCAGTACGAGTGTGTGTAATTTACATTGTAGAGCAAAAAGTGTCTTCGATTCATATTTACCACAGACCTTGTTTTATTCATAAATTGAAAAACCCCGTTATAAAAAACTAATAGGAAACTCTCAAGGGGACTAGTCTTCTAATTACAATAAGGTTCCATTTGTTGAAATTACCGGTAGTTAACTACATTAGTTAACATACAACTAACAATGTAAAAATACTTCTAAAAAGAAGAATTAATCTTAATTGCCATTTGTTTTGGGCGATTTGCTCAATTTTCATATCGTCCTATCATCAGCCTGTGAGATCGCGGATACACGATATTATCGTGCTAATTTATGTAATTATTTACTTCGTTCCACTGCGAGAAAGTGAACCATCTCCAGCGTAAGGCTAAAAGCAGCCTAATGTTTTTAATATGACTGAATTTGTATTTAACATGATAACAAATTAATAGAAACATCATAAGTTACTAATTATAATGCTTACATTCCTCAGTTATTCAAAAAAGCAGCTAACGTTACAGAAAACGAGCAAAGAACATTACATTACCAAAGAACATCATCACAAGCTTCACAAAATTTAAAATTCTACACGTCACATTTATTGTCCAACTACAAATATTTCAGCGAAATTTATATTTTAGTCAGAATTATTGTGCTCCTATTTAATTGAGCTCTGGCTCCGGCGGCGCTCGTGAAGTTTAGCGGAGAATCCCAAAGCTCATGCACTTCTGACAGAAAAAAATATAAAAAAATATTTCCATGGCTTTCTAACATTTACAGATGGAGAATATACCTGTGAAATGTAAGCTATGCATTCAGAAAGACAGCACATCTCAAACACACACAGCCCTCTACGAACACCTTGGCAATTGAATCGCCATTGGCTAGTAAATTTTTTTGTTTACTCGCCAGACTGATAAATATATACATACACATATACATACATATACACACACACACACACATATACACACACACACATACACATACACGAGTCGTGCGCCTTCACACTAGAGTTTACGGTACGTTGTGCGCAACACATCCATTCAGATGAACTGAAAAACAGCACAGATCGCTTGACGGAGAGTGAAACTCGATGCGCTCAGTCAGAGAGTGTTCGGCGAGTGAAAATATATCTGAGCTAAACTTATACTTAGCCTCCAACTCACACACTGGCGAGTAAAATCTGAGAATTTATTAGCAATTGGCTAATATTAGACATAATTTAGTCGCCAGAGTGAAGATTTAGTCGCATATGCGAGTGATTTACTCGCAATGTAGAGGGTTGGACACACATTAAACAGCGCGAGTAGCCCAGTGTCTCTGTCAGCGGCACACGCACGCATCCTTTCTGTCAGAGCATATGACAGGCGGAGCCACTTAAACTAATATGCCAAACCAAACTATAAACTATGTCTTACCAGTTTTTAAAGGCCTTAATATGAAGCTTGTCACATGTTTAGAACAAATTGGATTATGCTCTTTCTCCACAGCAGCTCAGTCTGTGTCCTCCGCTATATTTTCAGATGCGCTCGTATCAAACTATTGTTTATCGATATAAACGGTATTGCCTCATATCGAATCGCTTATAAAGAAAACATCGATATATCGTACAAACTCGATATACCGCCCAGCCCTATTTACTACTAATAATTTACTACTAATAATAATTAGAGATGCACCGATCAACCGGCCAGGGACAGGTGTTCTGAAGCCTGATTAAAACGTCAATAACAAAAATAACTAGGGAAGCACTGAAACGTTGCCACCAACATTTTTCGTGCGAGAATGATAATGATTTTATTGCATTCGGTGTAAACTGATCATTTATTTATGGCGTGCCAGATGAGGCTCGTGCAGCCTGCGAGAGAGAGTCTCGTGCAGAAATCAAAATTAATAATCGGGTCTGCAACAGCACACACAAAATAACTCTCAGAAAGTTATAGATGCATGCTGCGGTAAAAAAAAAAGAAAATAAAAAAAAAATAGATATTTATAATATATGATTTAGGTAAGCAACATTACACGACCAAGATGTTTCCCCCGAATATCAACACTATTGCAATGTGACACACATTTTATACAATAGTAGTTCAATAAACAAGATGTTAAAATTAAGTGACTCAGACACTTAGACACAATATTGACAGTTTTTGCTCAATTTCGCTGACGAAAATAGTTCCAATCAAAGCCACAGCAGAACTATTTTGTGTCTCACAGCGGTGTTTCGTTACTGAATGAATCCACGGTTTTGAACGAATCGAGTGAGTCAATGATTCAGTAACCCATTCATAAAGACAGTCACTTGCCTCGTTTCTGAATGAATCAGATGTTTGAACGAATCGGTTGAATGACTAAATGACTCACTCATTAAAACAGTAATTTGCCGCCACCTACTGGTGGTTTGGTTTCATATTTAAAAGTATCATGGCATTTCCCCCCCCAAACATTTCTTATTTGTATGTTTAAAAAATATTTAAAACATTAATCTTATAAAATTATTTAAGCATTTGAAAATCTTGCGGTTTAAATGCATTTATGGCACCCCAGATTCATCAAACAGTCTGAATAAATGCATCTAATGCCACTTCAGATGCAGCTTCTGTGATTCCTGCAGTGGAAAGATGGAGTTTGCTGATACTGATTTAATTTGAATGATAACAACTCTACAATTTCTTATTATTCTAACTGAATTAAATAAACGAATCGTGAGTAATTCGAATCCCACTTCCGTGACGGCTACATGTCACAGGGTAACACATTTGCGTAATTGCATAATTCTATCGAGCATTCAAAATACGAAACTATGGCAATGGGCAAATCATTTCCGATACACGCTGTATACGGTAGACCAATCACAATAGACTGGACCATCTGACCAATCAGAGCAGACCTTGAATGCATGTAAACCTATTGAAGGAGACCAAAAAAAAAAACACATTTGGAACCTTAAAAATGGCATAATAGGGACACTTTAAAGAACCCTTTTCCACTGTAAAAAACCTTTTGTGCAGTGTTTTTCACAGAACCAGATGCTAATAAAGAACCATTATTTTTAAGAGTGTAAATTTTTATGAAAAATTCTGTCTTCATTTACTCATCCTCATTTAATTCAAACCTGTATGACTTTTTTTTTTCATCTGTGGAACCCAAATAAAGATAATTAAAAAAAGGCCTAGATTTTTTAGTCTTGCCTTTACATCAATAGTATGTCAAGGGGTTCAGTGTTGTTTGGAACCCGGTGTTGTTTGAAATATCATCTTTTGAGAAAGTAAGTCATACAGGTTTGGAACGACATGATGGTGAGTTAATGATCACGTAATGTTCCCATTTGGTTGAACTAACATGGGGGTATTGAATCTGAATATTGAAAAGTACCATTTCCTTGAGTGTCATGTAAGGCGCCTATAAATAAAATGAAATAAAAAAGGAAATTAAATTTCATTTTTGGAGCTCAACAGCCCCAGAGTGAACAGTGTGAACATTCTGCAAAACATCTCTTTTTCTGTTTCACAGAAGAAAAAATCATCCCGGTTTGGCACCTCAAGGTTGAACTATCTCTTTAAGACTGGCTGTGTAATTTCTACTTCATAGAACACTGAGAGCATGGACAAATACTTTGCCGAACAGCATTCAGAAGATTCTTTGTTCTCTCCCTCATAGTGGTTGCATCACATGCCCTGGCTCTGACTTGTGCTGTGCTTAAAGTGCCTTTATGTCAGGGGCACAGCGTTTGCCTTAGGGTTGGTGGGTAGTAAACACTCCACACACATCTTATAAAAGCACGAGCGTCATTTCTAAGGACACTGACTGTTGGAGTGTGTATTGATCATAGCAAGTGGTTCACCTTTACTTTGGACTGGCCTGTGTACCTTACTGGTGTATGAGGGCATGATGAAAATGGGGAGGAGGACGTTGTTACCATGGACACAGAATATCTTAGCGTTATTGATGGGTCGAATGAGTGTATTCTTAGCAGGAGGAGTGGAAAGGCACAATATGTCAGAGTTGTTATGGCGATAGGAGGATGTTATTAGCATGTAGATGTGAGAGTTGTTGCCATGGAGAGAAGGAGAGGGTACAGAAGGATAACATTAACTGGATGGTTGATTGTTGAATAAATGAGCAGTATCTGGGATTGTGTGAGCATGCACGTCAGCGGCAGCTGAGGCCTTGGCCTTTAGGATGCATACAAGGTAGGGGTTGCACCGACTAATCGATTAGTCGACTAGTCGACTTCAATGCTCTGCCATGACGCTTTAAGCTTGACGTCGACTAGTCGCTGGTCCTATAGAAGGCGCAACAGGATAAGAAATCTTTGAAGGACTTCCACATTTATGTTCCGTTTCCAACCAGTTAAAATGACAAATAAATACATACTCCGAAAGCGCTCCACAAGTAGGGTTGCCAACCATCCCGTATTAGCCAGGACGTCCCGTATTTTGGGCCTAATTGATTTGTCCCGTACGTGACTTCCCTTGTCCTGTTTTTTGACTGCTACGCTGATCTAACCACTGACTGATACAACAGCAGCAGTGCTGATCACGTGAGAATGATCACTGTTACCTG